ACCATGTTGACCAGGATGGTCTCGATCTCTTGACCTCGTGATCCACCCGCCTCGGCCTCCCACAGTGCTGGGATTACAGGCTTGAGCCACCGCGCCCGGCTTTTTTCTTTATTTTTGAGACAGAATGTCGCACCGTCACCCAGGCTGGAGTGCAGTGGTGCGATCTTGTCTCATTGCAACCTCCACCTTCCGTGTTCAAGGGGTTCTCCGGCTTCAGCCTCCCAAGTAGCTGGGATCGCAGGCGCACACCAACACGCCCAGCTGCTTTTTTGTATTTTTAGTAGAGACAGGGTTTCACTATGTTGGCCAGACTGGTCTCAAACTCCTGACCTCGTGATCCACCTGCCTTGGCCTCCCAAAGTGCTGGGATTACAGGTGTGAGCCACGGTGCCCAGCCTTGTTTTTCTTTTCTTAAATAGAGATGAAGTCTCACTTTGTTGCCCAGGCTGGTCTTGAGCTCCTGGCGTCAAGCAACCCTCCCACCTCAGCCTCCCAAAGTGCTGGGATTACAGGGTGCAAGGCACTATAACCTGGCTCTGAAGAACCAGAAAGCCAGTGGTCCTCCCTTCTCAAGATACCAGGAGTTGGCCAGGTGCAGTGGCTGACATCTGTAATTCCAGTACTTTGGGAAGCCAAGGTGAGAGGATCACTGAAGCTCAGAATTTCAAGACCAGCCTGGAAAACAGCAAGATTACATCTCTACAAAGAAAAAAAAAGATTTATTTAAAAAAAAAAAAAAAAAAAAAAAAAAAACAGTGAGGAAAGATGGGTCTGGGCCTTGGAGGAAGAGGAACATAACTCCTAGGCGCAGAATAAGGAAGGCCCACAGACCAGGGTCTTCATGGGCCAGGCAGCAGTCTCAAATGTTGGCAGGCATCAGAGTCACCTGGAATACTTGTTACCGGGAAGAGTTCTTCTGGGCACCCACCCCAGGGCTTCTGGTGCAGGAGGGGTGGGGACAAAGATCTGTGTGTCTCACAAGTTCTCAGCCAATGCGGATGCCAGACCTTAAGAACCACTGGGGCCCAGTTCAGTGGCTCACGCCTATAATCCCAGCACTTTGGGAGACCGAGGTGGGCAGATCATCTGAGGTCAAGAGTTTGAGACCAGCTTGGCCAACATGTTGAAACCCCTGCCTCTACTAAAAATACAAAAATTAGCCAGGAGTGGTGGTACATGCCTGTAATCCCAGCTACTTGGGAGGCTGAAGCAGGACAATCGCTTGAACCTGGGAGGCAGAGGTTGCAGTGAGCCGAGATTGCACCACCGCATTCCAGCCTGAGTCACAGGGTGAGACTCGGAAAAAAAAAAAAAAAAAACCCGTTGGCCCAACAATTAGACTTCTTGGTCCTGGGAGAGGAAGGGCAGTGGAACATAAAATGATCAATCTTTAAAGGAGGAGATGGCCTGGGATACGACTGTGAGGTGTGTGTGGAAGGCTAGGAGCTCCTGGATCCCCGAAGGAGGCCACAGCCTATAACCTCCTCCGCCCTCTGGAGCTAGGGAAAAGGGGGCATGGGTTTGAGCAGGGAGGGCCTGGGGCCTGGACTCCTGGGTCTGAGGGAGGAGGGGCTGGGGCCTGGACTCCTGGGTCTGAGGCAGGAGGGGCTGCGGCCTGGACTCCTGGGTCTGAGGGAGGAGGGGCTGGGGCCTGGACTCCTGTGACCCGGGGGGGGTGGGCAGAGGGCACAGGGCACTGGACTGGCAGGTCCTGACTCCCAGCCCCTCCTCAGGAGCGCCTGGACCATGCTGCTGAGCGCCTACTGGCACGGTCTCCACCCGGGCTACTACCTGAGCTTCCTGACCATCCCGCTGTGCCTGGCTGCGGAGGGCCGGCTGGAGTCGGCCCTGCGGGGGCGGCTGAGCCCAGGGGGGCAGAAGGCCTGGGACTGGGTGCACTGGTTCCTGAAGATGCGCGCCTACGACTACATGTGCATGGGCTTCGTGCTCCTCTCGATGGCAGACACGCTTCGGTACTGGGCCTCCATCTACTTCTGCATCCACTTCCTGGCCCTGGCTGCCCTGGGGCTGGGGCTGGCATTGGGTGGGGGCAGCCCTGGCCGGCGGAAGGCAGCCTCCCAGCCCACCAACCTTGCCCCGGAGAAGCTCCGGGAGGAGTAAGCTCCCGAGACGCTCCCTCTGCCAGCGGGTCCCGGGGATTCTGTGAACCAGGCTGCTGTCTCCTCCCCAGAAGGAGTCCTTACCTTGGCAAGGTTCCTGGAGAGAATTTCCTCTTCCCCAGCTAATACCCTGCCTGCCACTGAAGCAGACTTGCCCTCTGCCCAGGGGCCTCCAGTGGCCACTCTCTTCCTACAAAATCCAAGTCTTGTCCTGACAAGAGTCTCCCTTGCCCCTGCTCCGGCTTCGGGGTCTCCAGAGAGCACTGCACTTCCCAAGAACAGAAGGGGCCTATGAGCGGCAGGTTTGGGCAGATTCTCTTTCTGCATCCACAGTGTGTGGTTGGAGCCTGGGGGAGGCCCTGGGAGTCGGCAGCCTCTTCCTGTGTCTTTTGCTCTGACTTTAGCTCATCATGCCCATATTGCAGACTTGGAAGGAAGCATAAGCTTCCCATTTCACAAAGGGGAAACTGAGGCACGGGTGCGCAGGCCTGGGGACTGCCACTCCACGGCTTACGTCTGAGTCACCTTGGGGCCCCAATGCTCCTGGCTCCCTCTTCTCATTCCTTGGCCTGTGACAGGTCACAGTGTGTAAATCTTTCCCAATAAAGTGTTGCACAAATGCCTCGTGTCTGTGCAAGCATCTGTGGATGACAAACACCGGGAGTCCCAGGTGAGGTGCAGCTGCCAGCCTGGCCCAGGAACCAAACTGTCAGGCCCGGGCACCACGGGGACTTCAGGTCCCAGGAGACCTTTCGAATCCCCAGCCCTGTGAAACTACAGGAAGTGTACCTAACTCCCTCCGGGCCACCTGCCGGCCAGGTACACACCTGCCCCGCCCCGCCCTTACCTGGGGCAGTGTCTGCCTGCTGGCCACTAGAGAGCCCAGCCTGAGGCCATGGAAGAAAACCCAACCCTGGATTCAGCAGCTTGGGGCTCTTCTAGCGGGTGGCTGGCCCCCCGGGAGGCCAGAGGAGGTAGGGAAGCCAGGAGAGGTTCAGATCCACCAACCTTCAGGCTAGGTGGGACTCCTGAGCCTGAGGGCTGAAGAGCAGGTTTCACTTCCTGGTTTTACAGAGAAGGGAAGTGGAGGCTGGAACTCCAGGGTCTGAGGAGGAGGAGCCTGGAGAACCAGGCTAGTCTGGGAGGAGGAGAGGGTGCGGGGCTGGGAGTTTGGGTGTCTTGGGTATAGGAGAGGCCGGGTCCCCACACTCCTGAACTAGAGGGAAAAGGAAGTTGAAGGCTGGACTCCTCTGCCCTGGAGTAGGAGGGGGTCCACATTTGAGTCCCTGGGGAGGGGATCGAGGGCTGTGAACCCCTGGGTCCAGGTGAAGTAGAGGCTGGCACTTGGACTCCTGGGTCTGAGGGAGGAGGGGCCGGGGGCCTGGACCCCTGGGTCGGAGGGAGGA